AAGATGGTCAGTTGAGATATGAAGACTAGACAACGGAGGAGAAGGCTTAGTGTCTCCTAATCTTTGAAATGCTGCTTAAAAACAAATCTTAAATTCTTCTTCAAAAGAGATCTTTTCCCCACCAATCTAATCCTGTTGGTTTACCGAACGCATCTGGTTGTTGATGATGGGACACCGAATGTAGACTAGATGAGCTTTTATTTTTTGCCTGGTTCAGTTAAATTCTTCCTAATGTTTTGAAGGCAGCAGGTTAGAGAACGCAGATTTATTTCAAAGCTTGAGAACTTCTGTTCTAAATAATGGGATTCCAAGGGCTAATTGACATTACTGCCCTTTTCTAGACACATCATCTTTGCTCCAAACAGTCACAATAAGTATGCTGGAGTGTCCTTCCCCGGGATCTACGATGCCCTATTTGACATCGATAATAAGGCTGACCAACAGAAAGCCTGGGAAGAAGTGAAGAAGCAGATCTTCATCGCTGCTTTCATGGTGAGGGCTGCAGCTGGGACACTGAATGAAACACCCTGTGGGGATGCAAGCGAGGAATTGCCAAGAAAAGGTCCAACAGAGTCACACTTGACTTCTCAAAAATAAAATAACTGATGCAAAAGAAGCCCTACTGATTTGGTCGATCCCAAGGATGTTTTTCTTATGGAATGCTATGGAATGCATTGTGATTAAGTTTCATTTATTGTAATTTCAAATAACCTCCAAGTATTTTGAAAAAAAATGCTTCTCTGGTTCATTCATTCATTCATTCATTCATTCATTCATTCATTCATTCATTCATTCTATATAGCTGCCCATCCCACATCTGTGACTCTGAGCAGCTCACATAATTAAAACACAACCGGTAAACAAAATACAGGATTCAGTGACAAACACAATAATTCCCCTTTAAAACACAATTAAAGCACTACGTTATTTTCTTTTTAATCACTTTATTTTATACTTCCCCCATGCTGGAGGTCTTCCTGGATTTAAATGACATTTGGTGGAATGAGGGCATCTATGGGGTTGAAGCTCCATCTCCTTTTTTGTATGCACTGGACGTGCAACATGCCATGGTTCCATATGTTGTATGGACAATGCAGGCAAAAAGGAGGGTGGTGCTTTAATTGGATAATCATAGCAGCCACCTTGATTTTTTTGTCCAAATCCAACCTCAGAGGAGACCCATTGATCCCAGCCTGATTTCTAACAATGTCTATAAAGGTAATCCTCAACTTACTATTGCAATCAGGATTGGAACAAGCAAATGGTGTTTTTGTCCTATTAGCAATAGCAATAGCATTTAGGTTTATATACAGCCCCCTATCACTTTTCAGAACTCTCTGGGTGGTTTACAGAGTCAGCCTATTGCCTCCAACAATCTGGGTCCTCATTTTACTGACCTCGGAAGGATGGAAGGCTGAGTCAACCTTGAGCCGGTCAGGATTGAACTCTTAGCAGTGGGCAGAAATAGCCTGCAATACCACATTCTAACCACTGCGTCACCACAGCTCCTTCCTTCCTTCCTTCCTTCCTTCGCAACAGCATTTAAACTTATATATCACTTCACAGTGCTTTACAGCCCTCTGTAAGTGGTTTACAGAGTCAGCATATTGCCCTCAACAATCTGGGTCTTCATTTTACTGATCTCAGAAGGATGGAAGGCTGAGTCAACCTTGAACTGGTCAGGATCGAACTCCTAACTGCAGGCAGAGTTTGCCTACAATTTTGCATTCTAACCACTGTACCACCAGAGTATATACACCACTGTGTATATAGCGTATATTAAACACAGCATTTTGTTGAGTACCTCAACAGTATTTTGATAAGCATGGATTTAAGGATCAGTGTAGGTTCTATGAAGAAATAATAGGCTCGGGACAAATCTAGGAAATCTATGTGACTCATAAGAGTCAACACCAATGTGATTGTACATATCAGTCAATCAATCAATAAAAAGTGTTCCATGATCACAGCTTCATTGGAAATTCAGCAGGAGGGTAGGGAGAAAGACCCAGCCTCCTTATAACCACATCAGCCAGAAGAGTGCTTGCAGATTTGACATCTGCTGAATTTAAAAGCTATTCTGATGAAGAAGGTGGGGAATGGAATGGAGTGGAGAATAATAATCCAGCCCCCTGCCCAAGGTAGAAGATCTTATTGCACCCTGGACAAATGACCATCCAATCTTTTCTTGAATACCTCCAGCAATAGAGCATCCACAATTTTACCTAATTCTCTTTTGAATTATTAGAATCAGAATCAGAATAACAGAGTTGGAAGGGACCTTGTAGGTCATCTAGTCCAACCCCCCTCACCCCCACACCCAAGCAGGAGACCCTACACCAGATATGTCAAACTCGCGACGTCACGTGACATCATGCAACGTATCAGGATGGTTTTGCCATTGCCGGCAATGGGGTGGGCTTGGCTTCCGGATGACGTGTCCGGCCCGCGGGCCAGCAGTTTGACACCCCTGTCCTACACCATTTCTGACAGATGGCAGTCCAGTCTCTTCTTGAAAGCTTCCAGTGATGAAAGTCCCACAACATCTGAAGGCAAAACTGTTCCATTGGTTGATTGTTCTCACTGTCAGAACATTTCTCCTCATTTCTAGGTTGAATCTCTCCTTGATCAGTTTCCATCTGTTATTCCTTGTCTGGTCTTCAGGTGCTTTGGAAAATAGGTGGACCCCCTTCTCTCTGTGACAGCCCTTCAAATATTGGAACACTGCTATCATGTCTCCCCTGGTCTTTCTCTTTCCTAGACTAGCCATGCCCAGTTCCTGTAACCGTTCTTCATATGTTTTAGCCTCCAGTTCCCTAATCATCTGGGCATGACTGTATTTGACTATACCCCAAACAGCTGGCCGAGAATGGAGAACAGAAGAAATAGGGAGAAGACAGACTCCAGCAATTCGCAATAAGACAAATAAGGTCCAGAAATTTGCAGCTGGGCTACCCTTATCAGGCTGCATGAACAAACTGCCCCACCCTTCAACTCTGTCTGGTCTGGAACCACCTTATTGCTGCAGGCAGAGAAGCCAGCTGGTTCTTCCAGCTGTAATGTCAGTTGGGAAGACAGAAAGACAGAATTCACACACGTTAGATGTTGTCTACCTACTCACAGCTGAAGGAGCTATCTAGATCAGGGGTGTCAAACTCAATTTCATTGAGGGCCGCATCAGCATTGCGGTTGCCCTCGTGGGGCCGAGTGGGTGTGGCCAGGGTGGGTGCGGCCTACTTGGTGGGCGTGGATGGAGTGGGTGTGGCCTGCTGGGCGGGCGTGGCCACACTTTACATCGTTCACGTCAAGGGTGCCTATGGGGGCCTGGGCAGGAGTGGGACAGATCTGAGGGTCTCTGGCAGAAGGGGGTGGGACTGGGGCAAGCACCAAGGCATGGTCCATTTCTTCATTCCTCACAAAGGGTGACACCTCCCCAGCATGCACCCAGGGGGCGGGGCCAACGCGGCAGGGGTTGGTTCCTCACTGTTTCTAAATGGCCTTGTGGAGCTAAGACTGGATGCGTTTCAGCATAGATGGCCACCACAAAATTGTATATTGGCTCCCGGCTGGCCTGGGCCAGGGCCAAGGCAGCGGGGGCCGTTCCCTCACTGTTTCCAGGATGGCTTCGCGGGCCACATGAAACCACTTCGCGGGCCGCATCCGGCCCCCGGGGCCTTGTGTTTGACATGTCTGATCTAGATGGTTGTCCCCAAAGGTGCTTTTTTTTCCAAAAGACAACTGCATTTCCTTGTTTTTTTTTTCTTTGAAAACATTTTGCTTCTCATCCAAGAAGTTTCTTCAGTTCACGAACTGTTCGTGACCGGCTCAGGAATTCTGGGAATTGAAGTCCACAGGTCAGAAAGGGAGTCATACTTTCCCCACCCCAATCTCAGCTTCCAAAGATCAGGAAGTTGGCTGAAACAACGGGTGGGTGCCACTGAGATCAAATATTCATCTCTAGCAAAATTGCCGAGTTCCTGAATGAGGATTTGGTACACTGAAATATAAGCTTAACTGCTCCTTGCTTACATAGGAAGAGGATCACAAAGAATGGGATGGTAACATTGGATTGGGCAGAACGTAATAAATAACAAAATAACATTCCCCATTCTGCCCAAAGACTCTCAAAAGGAGTCTTGTAGATCCCAGTTTCAGAAATCTCTGCTTCTCTTTCACACGAGCTGATTTATTTATTTTATCTATTTATTTATTTATTTATTTATTTATTAAATTTACAGCTGATCCTTGACTTATGACCACAACTGAGCCCAAAATTTCTGTTGCTAAGTGAGACATTGGTTAAGCGAGTTTTGCCCCGTTTTAATGCCCTTTCCTGCCATATTTGTTAAGTGAATTGCTGCAGTTGTTGAGTTAAGAACACACAGTTGTTAAGTGAATCTGGCTTCCCTATTGACTTCGTTCGTCAGAAGGTGCAAAAGGCGATCACATGACTTTGGGATACGGCGACCGTCCTAAGTGTGAGTCAGGGGCCAAACTGAGTCTTGACCATGTGACCATGGGAATGCTGCAACCGTTGTTAAGAGTGGAAAAACAGTCACAAGTCACAACTTCAAGCAGTCACTAAATGAATTATTGTAAGTCAAGGATTATCTTTATATACCACCCATTCCACTATCCGAAACGACTTTGGGCAGCTTACAATACAATAAAAATATAAGAATATTTACATTTTAAATAGAAAAGCCATTTTAGAATTACAAAAATTGAAGGATTCTTATTAAAGAAAGTAAGAGTTGTTGGATAGGGAGATTGATTTAATAAATGAATAGATGCATATACACAAACATGTCCTTTTTTCCAGATAAGGAGATAGACCCAAAAGATAGGTGTCCACAGCTAGGTACATGACTACTCAGATAAGGTTTTTCAATCTCATCCAAACGCACAGGTCACCAGGAGTCAAGAATTAGTTTTTCTTAATGAAATATTAACTGACCCTCATTGCTAACCAATAATCTAACCAAGGACACACAGCACTAATGGTAAACAGCCTTGTAAAACAAACCAATGAGCTTCCAGGTAAGGATAATGCTTCTGGATGGTTTGGAATGGAAGAGAGAATATTTACAATATCCATAAATCAAGGTTCATTCTCTGTGGAAAAGTAAACTCAGGAGGTGGAATGAGCAGTTTTGTTTTGTTTTCTTTAACTCCTGGGACTTAGAGTTTTGGTGGTATCTTAACAACAACAACAACAACAACAACAACAACAACAACAACAATAACAATAACAATAACAACAATAACAATAACAATAATAATAATAATAATAATAATAATAATAATAATAGTAATAATAAAGTTGGAAGGGACCTCGGAGGTCATCTAGTCCAATCCCCTGCTCAGGCAGGAAACCCTATACCATTTCAGACAAATGGCTGTCCAGTCTCTTCTTAAAAACTTCCAGTGTTGGAGCATTCACCGCTTCTGGAGGCAGGTTGTTCCACTGGTTAATTGTTCTAACTGTCAGGAAGTTTCTCCTTAGTTCTAGGTTGCTTCTCTCCTTGATTAGTTTCCATCCGTTGCTTCTTCTCTTGCCTTCAGGTGCTTTGGAGAATAGCTTGACTCCCTCTTCTTTGTGGCAGCCCCTGAGATATTGGAACAGTGCTATCATGTCCCCCCTCGTCCTTCTCTTCATTAAGTTAGACTACCCAATTCCAGCAACCGTTCCTTATATGCTTTAGCCTCCAGTCCCCTAATCACATCTTGCTCAGGAATTCTGGGAGTTGAAGTCCACGAGTCATAAAAGAGCCAAGGTTGCCTACCACTGGTCTAGGGCAGCAGCCCCTAATCTTTTGGGCACCAGGGATATGGTTCTGTGGATGTGAGTTCCGGTGCCTTTTTTCTTACAAAACAAGCACTGCCTGTACCATTTCAGATAAATGGCAGGACAAGAAGCAATGGATGGGCAAAAAAAAAAATCAAGGGAGAGAAGCAACCAAGAACTAAGGAGAAATTTCCTGACCCTTACAACAATTAATCAGTAGAACAACCTGCAATCAACAAGTTGTGAATGCTCCAACACTGGAAGTTTTTAAAAAGAGACTGGACAGCCATTTGTCCGAAACGATGGAGGGGCTCCTGCCTGATCAGGGGGTTGGACTAGAAGACCTCCAAGGTCCCTGCCAACTCTTCTGTGCTTCTATTATACCGCGTGGTGTTTCTTCCTTTCGAGCTTCCCGGCACTTTATTCATAGAGGGGGCAGTGTGTTGCGCCGTGCTGTGTTGCGCTGTGCGGTGTTGTGCGTAGGCGTGTTTCAGACTGGGAGCTGGAAGTAATAATAATAGTAAAGTTGGAAGGGACCTTGAAGGTCATCTAGTCCAACCCCCTGCTCAGGCAGGAAAACCTATACCATTTCAGACAAATGGCTGTCCAGTCTCTTCTTAAAAACCTCCAGTGTTGGAGCATTCACAACCTCTGGAGGCAGGTTGTTCCACTGGTTAATTGTTCTCACTGTCAGGAAGTTTCTCCTTAGTTCTAGATTGCTTCTCTCCTTGATTAGTTTCCACCCGTTGCTGCCCAATGCCCCGATTGGAACAACTGCTTCTCCAGGGATTGCCCCCCCCCCGCCCCAGTAACCCCAGTTCATCGTCCCAGCTGGCTTTCGGAGTGTGCGCGCTGGAGAGAGAGATTTGCCAGTGGGCGGGGAGGTGGGTGGAGGCTCCCCAGCCGGGACGGGAACCTTCCCGTTCCCGCGTCCCGCGCCAGCCGTCCTTGGTCCGGGAAGCGAGATGGGCAGGTGGAAAGTGGTGCTTTGCAGCTGGCTGGGCGTCGCGGCGCTCCTGGCGCTTTTCCTGATGGGTTTCTTAGCGGGTAAGCGCGGGGCTCCCCTTTCCCGCCGGCGCTTTGGGGAAGCGGGAGGCGAGGACGGGCGCAGGGTCCGGATCGGAGCGCACTTGGCGGCCATCCCGGACGCTTTGGCGCGCGCCATAGGGATGGGAGCGCCTGACTTGGACGTGGAGACCTCGCCTTACCGGGTACGCGGGCTGGATTTCTACCGGACCCTTTGCCCGGCTGCCCCCCCCTCCCCAAACGGGGCTGTCTAGCTTGGTGAACGAACGGGATCGGGTGTGATGGGTGCGTACGTGTGTGCGTCGGCGTCTCCAGCAGCCGCGATTCCGCCGTAAAACTTGGGAGAGACCCCAGGTTCCAAGTCCTACTCAGCCAGAAGAACTAGGACGCAATAATAATAATAATAATAATAATAATAATAATAATAATAATAATAATAATAATAATAATAATAATAATAATAACAACAACAACAACAACAACAACAATAACAACAACAATAACAATAACAACAATAATAATAATAATAATAATAATAATAATAATAATAATAATAATAATAATAATAATAATAATAATAAAAAGTTGGAAGGGACCTTGGAGGTCATCTAGTCCAACCCCCGGAACCATCCAGTCAGTGTCATCGTCAGAGTTGGGTTTTTCAGAAAAAAATTGGACAACCAATTCAATTGGACAACTAAATAGTGTAGGGGGGTTGTCTCCCGCTGGAGCAGGGGGTTGGACTAGAAGACCTCTAAGGTCCCTTCCAACTCTGTTATTCTGTTATCTCCCACAGCCGCTCCTCTCAGTGTCCTTACAAGCAGGGTGGCAGCACAGTTTGGGCTTCCACGTTTTAAGAAGGAAGTCCATAGGCTCAGAAGCCCTTTGCACATGCTCATTTGCACTCTTTCCCAAGGCTGAGGCCAGGCATCCTGAACAGATTCTGGGTCTTGCTTCAACTTCTGGCAGATGTTACATAGTCTTCAAATGCAAATCCACCATGCTCCAGAATTTTACAGCCATTTCCCCCCCCCCCCCGAACTTCTCCCCTTCATGGAATTATGGACTTGGCATCAGTGAGTTCCATATGATAAGTTCTGGGCAAACTAGTTGAACAATGTGAAACAAGATATCTTCATTGTTTCAGTTCTTCCAGTTTCCTGTAATTTAATACTAATGGTCTTTATCTGATGATCAGCCCTTAAGTTTGTTCTGGATAATCAAATGTTGATTGCTT